AGGAGGAGAGGGAGGAGGAGGGGGAGGAGAGAGGAGGAGGAGGAGGAGGGAGGAGGAGGAGGAGGAGGAGGAGGAGGGGGGTCAGCGCAGAGGGGGTCAGTCAGGGCGCCAGATTTTGCAGGATCATGCAGGGCCTGGGTCGCACTGGCCCCAGCCTTGGTTCAGGATCCTGCAGGATCCTGCGAGATCCTGCAAGGCCTGACTGACCCGGGTCTGGATTGACCCAGGTCAGTAGGTCCCCGAAAGAGGAAAAGGCCTGAGAAGGAGGAGGAGGAGGAGGAGGAGGAGGAGGAGGAGGAGGAGGAGGATGAGGAGGCGTAGGAGGGAGGAGGGAGGATGCCTCTCACCCCACCTCCTGCTCCTGCTCAAGCTCGAAGGGGTGCGCCGCTAGTTCCCGCAAGCTCAGCGATGACCGCGCGGGGTCAGAGGGAGGTGCTGGCTCAGGGTGGGACACTTCGACCTGGACTCGGCGACGCGGCTCCGAAGTGCGGGAGATCGGCCCCCGGACAGCGAAGCCGCGCGCTCCTGGGCAGGGCGGGGTTAATGGCCCAAGCTCGGATCGGCGATGGACATCTTTGGGTCTGCGGGCCGAGAGCGAGCCTCTTCCGGTGAAGAGCTGGGCGGGCCGCGCAAAGCACTACTCCAGATTTCGTCATAAAGGGAGGGGGGTCTCATTTCGGGGGGGGTCTCTTCCAGGCTGTCCTGGAGGGCCTGGGGTGGTCTGGGGCGATGTTTTGGAGGGTTCTCCCAGGAGGGGGGGTCTGAAATGGCTTGTCTTGGAGGGTCCAGACCCCCTCCCTTTTATTACGAAACCTGGAGTAATTGGGGAGACAGGGCGCGGGCGGGCGGGGCCTCAGGCGGCCGGAGGGCGCGGGGTGCAGGCGGTGCGGAAGCGTTAAGGATCGGCGATGATGAGCAGGCGGCGGTTCACCGCCAGGTCGGGTGGTGCCAGGGGTGGCCCTCGCCCAGGGTGGCCCTGCAGTACTCCAGATTTCGTAATAAAAGGGAGGGGGTCTGGACCCTCCAAGACAAGCCATTTCAGACCCCCCCTCGTGGGAGAACCCTCCAAAACATCGCCCCCAGACCACCCCAGGCCCTCCAAGACAGCCTTGAAGAGACCCCCCCCGAAAGGAGACCCGCCTCCCTTTATGACGAAATCTGGAGTAACTTTTCCAGGGGTGCTCAGATGGCTTCCAGGACACCTCGAGGCCAGTGGGAGTGCCCCAGATCGAGCGCTGGCGAGGCGTCCTGGCTTGCCTCCAGGTCCACCAAATCATGTTTTAGGAACCTTTTGTGGTCTGCGCGACATGTTCCTGGAGCATGTCTGGCTGAGATTCCTTTGTTTTGGCGCATCGGGTTCATGTTCCAAGAACATTGTTTTTCTTGTGCGGGCGCAGCCCTTACTTTAATTTTCGGGAAGTAGACAGAACTGACAGAACTGAGCTGAATCACCAAAGCCGTTCGATTGCAGTCTTATACCCGCGGGTGAGAGGATATTTCGCTGGCAGTTTTAATCGAAGGCTGTGAGGATATTTCGCTGGCAGTTTTAGGTCAGGGGGTTGAGGATACCTCGCTGGCAGTTTCAGGCCAGGGGGTGAGGAGCTTGCCAGGGGGTGAGGAGCTTTCGATGGCAATTTTCAGCGAGGGGTGTGAGGATATTTCGCTGGCAGTTTTCAGTCAAGGGGCTGAGGATATTTCGCTGGCAATTTCAGGCCAGGGGGTGAGGATATTTCGCTGGCAGTTTTAAGCGAGATGTGTGAGGATATTTCGCTGGCAGCTTTAAGCCAGGGGGTGAGGATATCTCCCTGGCAGCTTTAATCGAAGGGTGTGAGGATATTTCGCTGGCAGTTTTAAGTCAGGGGGTTGAGGATATCTCTCTGGCAATTTCAGGCCAGGGGCTGAGGATATGTCGCTGGCAATTTTAAGCGAGGGGTGTGAGGATATTTCGCCTGCAGCTTTAAGTCAGGGGGTTGAGAATATCTCGTTGGCAGTTTTAGGCCAGGGGATGAGGATATTTCGCTGGCACTGTTTGGCCAGGTTGTAAGGATATTTCGCTGGCGATTTGAAGCGAGGGGTGTGAGGATATTTCGCTGTCAGTTTTAAGCCAGGGCGGTGAGGATACCTTCCAGATGTAACCAAGCAGCAACATGTGCCATGCACGGGCGGTCAGGCATGATCGGCGGATTCGTTGGTTTTGGGTTCGGGGCGCATCATTCACAGCGTTGGAGTATCGATCACGTTCGACATTGGACTGAGGCTCAATGCGTTGGTCTGGGGTTCGGGGCGCATCATGCAGCCACAGCCTTTGGAATATAGATCACCTTCGACATTGGATTCAGTATCGAGTCCTCCCCTGCCTGGCCCAGCTGAATGTCTCGCATCCAGCGCGGTGCTGCGCCCGTGTATATATATATGTATATATATATATACATAGAAGCTCGCCCCTTGGCGTGGGGCTGGCGGGGGGCCAAGGGGCGAGCTGCCTGCTTCTTCAGATTCTTTGGGGTCTTTCAGAAGACATCTTGGTACAGTGCCGTTTTTAATACATGCTCCGCGTGCGGATCATGTATGAAACATGCAGGGGTTTCGTATTAAAAACAACGATGAGTTCATGCATACATTTAGTCATGAATTCGTCATGTATTAAACATCCTATATTTCTAAGAATCCTATGTATTAAAAGCTGCCCTGTAGGCCTATGGGAATGCCAGGACGGTCGGCCCCTGCTCAGCCAAACATCTTCCTCGACGCGCTCCCTCCTCCTCCTCCTCCTCCTCCTCCTCTTCCTCCTCCTCCTCCTCCTCCTCCTCCTCCTCCTCCTCTCCTCCTCCTCCCTCCTCCTCCTCCTCCTCCTCCCTCCTCCTCCTCCTCCTCCTCCTCCTCCTCCTCCTCCTCCTCCTCCTCCTCCTCCTCCCCTCCTCCTCCTCCTCCTCCTCCTCCTCCTCCTCCCCCTCCTCCTCCTCCTCCTCCTCCTCTTCCTCCTCCCCCTCCTCCTCCTCCTCCCCTCCCCCTCCCCCTCCTCCTCCTGCTCAGCCGAACATCTGCCTCGACGCGCGCCCTCCTCGCCCGCTCGCCGGCCGCCCCGGCCCGGCGAGCGCCCCGCGGCGGCGGCAGCCTCCGCCGCCCTCGGCAGAGGCTCCAAGTGCCGCACGCTGGCCGAGTCCGGCACCACCCAGCTCGAGCTCCGGCGACCTGCCGCGGCCGCCCTCCTCCTCCTCCTCCTCCTCCTGCTCCTGCTCCCTCCTCCTCCTCTTTCTCCTCCTCCCCCTTTCTCCCCTCCTCCTCCTCCTCCTCCTCCTCCTCCTCGTCCTCCTCCTCCTCCTCCTCCTCCTCCTCCTCCTCCTCCTCCTCCTCCTCCTCCTCCTCCTCCCCTGCCTGGCGCGCGGAGCGCGCCAGGGGCGGCGCTGGCGGCGCCGACCGCGACCGCCACCACCGCAGCGGCGACGACCGCGACGACGACGGCGACGACGGCCGACGACGACGAGGAGGACGACGACACCCGAGGCTCGACGACGGACGAGGTCGGCGGCAACGGCCACGATTATGAGGGGAACGACAAGTGACATAGACATAAAAACTCGGAGGTCCGCGCGGATTTCTCGGATCGGCGCCGGGGCCCCCCGGCGGCGCCTCCGGAGCCGCCCCTGGCGCGCTCCGCGCGCCAGGGTGGGGGGCCCAGAGCCGATCCGAGAAATCCGCGCGGACCTCCGAGTTTTTATGTCTTTGTCATTTTTCGTTTCCCTAATCGTGGTCGTTGCCGCCGACATCGTCCGTCGTCGAGCATCGGGTGTCGTCGTCCTCGTCGTCGTCGGCCGTCGTCGCCGTCGTCGTCGGGATCGTCGCCGCTGCGGTGGTTGCGGTCGCCGTTGCTGTTGTGGTGGTCGTCGTCAGCGTGGTCCCTCGTCATCGTCCGTCGTCGGCAACAGCTTTGTGATCTTTGTCGTCGTCGTGGTCTTCGAATTCGTATCGAAGACGCCTACGTCGAATCACCGCCGCCTCCTGCTTTTTTGAAATCTTTCGGGGAACACGTGAGGAAGATGATAATGAGGAGACGACGGAAAAGGGAGTAGGAGAAGGAGGAGGAAAAGGATGAGGAGGAGGAGAAGTCCTCCTCTTGGAAGCCTTCTGGGGTCTCCTGGGAGATTCCTGGGGGCCTCTTGGAGGCCTTCTTGCGCCTCTTGGGAGCCTTTGGGAGCTTCTTCGGGGCCGTTTTGGCCGTCTTAGGGCGTTCCTGGCCCGACTGACGCCGTCAGAAGCCGTCTTGGATGCCTCTCTGAACCGACTTGGGGTTCTTTTGGTGCGCTTCAAGGCCGTTGTGGAGGCCTTCTTGGGCATCTTGGAGGCTTCGTTGTCCGTCTTGATACCCTCTTGGGGCCGTCATGGAGGCTTCTTGGGCCGTCATGGGGTCATCTTGGAGGCCTTTGGGGTCATCTTGGGGCGATCTTGGGGGCCTCTTGTGTCGTCTTGGGCCGTCGGAAGGCCGAAAAGAAGCAAATGCCCAAATCCTTCAAACACCTCAGGACAATCAATGATTTTGGCCTCTTCGGGCCCTCCTGGAGGACCTCTTGAAGGCCTCTTGGACCGTATTGGAGGCCTCTTTGGAGCCGTCTTGGGCCGTCTTGGAGGCTTCTTGGGCGAGCTTGGAGGCATCTTGGACTCTCTTGGGCCGTCTTGGAGGCCATCTTGGCCGTCTTGCAGGCGATCTTGGGCCATCTCCGAGCAGGACGAACCTTGGCAACCACCTCTCGAGCAGATCTCCATGTGGCCGACGCGCTGGGCCGACACCGCAGGGGGAGTCAAAAACAGCCCACAATTTTTAAGAAGTCTAGCACGCCAGACACCGCTGTGATATCGTCCTCACCCCAACATACTAATACTATGTGTGTGTGTGTGTGTTTGTGTGTCGCCCCCCTTGGGGCGACGCGCGCACCGAGAAACATTACAGTATATGCGTCGTGGCGGGCGCTTTCTGGCCACACCCCTCGGGAAACGATATACTACGAGATGGGGATACTAGATGTTCGAGTCGGACGCGCGCCTCCCAGGATGACATATAGTACTAGTATGTCTCTGTGCGTCCCATGATGAATCACGTGCGCAACTGTCGCAACTTTCGTAGGCTCCTGGGAGGTCCCGCGGGTTGGAGGTCTACGGTGACCCGGTTGAGACCTCGCGGCCCCCTCGGGGGCTGCGACGTGGGAAACTGTCGCCGCTTTCGTGGGCTCTTGGGAGGTCCTGCGGAGTGGAGGTCCACGGGGACCCAGTTGAGACCTCGCGGCTCCTTGGGGTGTGTGTGTGTGTGTGTGTGTGTGTGAAGTGTGCCACTGTCGCCAGTTTCGTGGGCTCTTGGGAGGTCCCGCGGAGTGGAGGTCCACGGGGACCCGGTTGAGACCTCGCGGCTCCAGGGGGGGCTGCGACGTGTGCATGTGTCGCCACTTTCGTGGACTCCTGCCAGGTCCCGCGGAGTGAGGCCCTGCTCTTTGCCACATTCGTGGGGTCCTGGTTCCTCACGTGGCCCTGCTCTTTGCCACGTTCGGGTGCTTGGTGCTCTCGTTACCCTCGTAGCCGCGCTCTTTTGTATCCACTTTTCGGGCGTTTGTCTGATTGCACTCCTGAATGCTCTCTGCGCGCTGGAGGTGTTTCAAGAATTTCGTCTGTATTGAGCGGTCCTGTGTGTACTCGCCTTATGTTTCCAAAGGGTCGGGTACGTCTCTGGTTAATTGTTTCTCTTGGGGCTGTACTGGGGGACCGTGGGGTCCTCTTGGGGCGCCTTGTGGGCCGCTTGGGCCGTCTGGAGGCCATCTTGGGCATCTTGGAGAGATATCTGGGCGACTCGGGGCCCTGACCGGTCCGTCTCGGGGGTCTCCCGGAGGAACTCTGCGGGGACGCGCGCCAGATCCCAGGAGCGCCCAAGAGCGCCTGAAACTCGGGGTCGTGGGAACACTCCACTTCGTGCCTCGGGGCACGGTGGCGGAAAATCATTTTCGGAGTCGCATTCATTGCGGTCGTTGAGGGGAGGGAGGGAGGGAGGGAGAGAGGACGACTGTGGGAGGAGGGAGGGATGGAGAATGATCGAGCGGGGAGGAGGACGGAGGGTTAGGATGCGGAGAGGGAGGGACGGAGGAACAGTGCTTTGGGATCTCTTGGGGCGGGTTTGAGGTCTCCCTCTTTTTTTCCTCCTCCACCACTCCTCTTTCTCGTCTTGTCTCTCCCCTGGCACCCCTCCCTCGCCTCGCTTTTGTAGGAGGAGGAGCAGGAGCAGGAGCAGGATGAGGGAGGGAGGATAGCAAAAGGGGGTGAAGCGAGGAGGAGGAGGACGAGTAGGAGGAGGAGGGCAGGAGGATGAGGAGGAGGACCATTGTAAACCGACGGCGCATCAGCGATGTCGCAATACATCCTCCCTCCAAGTCCCTCTTCATAGGTCACTACGAGAATGGGAGTGCGTGCGCAGTAGTGACTTAGCGGGGTTCGGGTTGTCGGTCTTATAGATCCGCATTGTTGTTGCTCTGCAGTCATCCAGGCTCCAAGGTTTCTGGCACGGAATGCAGTCGGTGATCGGGGTCCTTCTAGCCACCTTGACCATCTTTCTGCGCGATGCCGCCGAGCGGCAGTGGTCAGGTGGCCCCGTGGTGCCGCCCGATTGCGACCGGGGGCCACCGCCCGCGCCGACGAGGTTGGAGGTGACCTGCCCCGAGGCGACCGTCCACCCTTGCGTGGTGGAGGAGATTGCCCGTCGCGTGAGGTCCGAGGCGTGCGTCTGTGAGCTCAGCTGCGAGTTCGGCGAGCACGCCATCAGGCTCATCACGTTGACCACGCTGGCCCAGTGTTCGGGCCAGGGCTTCATCTTCGGGCTTCTTCTCGTGGGCCGCTGGACCTGCTCGCGACGCGATGGCGCTCGTCGCGCCACGACGTCCGTTGCACCTCGGGGACACAGGAATGCCTCCTTTCGGTGCAGGAGATGTCGAGTCATCTTCGGCCAGGACGGTCGATGGCCACTCGGTATGCTGGAGAGGATCTGTGGCAAGAGCGGGTCGTCATGTGCCCTAGGTTGCGCAGCGCGGAAGGCCTCGTCACCAGGTGGTGGATCCTCACGCCCGGCGGTGACCTCTACGAGGAGGACGTCTCGGTTGAGGCCCACGAGGGCCCCTTGAGATCTGGCGGGCGCTTGCCCGCGCTCCTCGTGGGGCAAGTTCAGCAGGGTTACGCACTGGGAGACCGCGGAGGGCACGTTGGCTCCGCTGGTCGTCGTGTGCAGGCGACCCCGTCGTGTGGACGCTGGGGCCGCCGCTGCCGCCCGATGGGCCCGCTTCGGAAGCCGACGGGCCCCCATGCGCTGCCAGGGCGGTGGCGCCGTCCCTGGCCGTGCTGCCCGAGCATGCCGCCCTGTGCGAGGGACTGGTGTGGTTGATCCCCGAGAGCGCAGAAGGTCATGAGACCAAGGGCATGGAGGTGACGCCGCTCGTGTGGGGCGTGTGGGATGTGATCATGACCTTTTTGACGGGCTTGTGCACAGGCGCGGCATTCTCCTGCGCGTGCAGGCGGTCGCCATCAGTGGGTGCATGGAGTTCGCGAGGAGCCTCCGTGCGCGTTATGCTGGCGGTGTGGCAGCCGCGGTCCCTTCGGCCCTGCGAATTTCACCCGTTGATAAGCCCCCCATGCAGGACGATGAGGTTCGTTCCCTCTGGGTCGGCTACGACGTGGTCGGCGAGAGGTTTGAGTGTCGGAGAAGGCCGTTCAGGAAAGTGGGGAGGAGCCCATCGCGGCCGTGAGTGTTCATGGGCCCCCATGGGCCCTCCACCTCGCTCGTCACACGGAGAGGTGCGGCGGCGATCCGCGGCGGTGGTGGCTAGGGTGGCAGGGGTCCGCTAGGATCGCGAAGGTCACCCAGACGTCGAGTTTCAAGCTGTTCGGAGAGTACGACCAGCTCAGTTTGGGTGCGTGGGCTGGCATCGAGAAGAGGGTGCGTAGGATGCTGGGCGTGAGCGACGCTTGCTCGGTAGGCGGCGGTTTGCCCTCGCTGCGCACGGCGGCCGTGAGAGCGAGAGCTCGGCCAACTACGGGACGCCTGCGCGTCCGCCTTGCGGAAGTGGGGAATCTATAAGCCAAGGGGCCAGAACGAGATTGAGAGTGCTCGGGCGTGCCAGCCGCGGCCTGCGGTGGAGGGCGCTGATGCTGGAGGCGGCCGGG